AGTACTTTAAACTGTATAAATAATGTAAAATTAAATTGATTTAAACAGCCAATCATACGAATGTCTGCCTATGAATTTCCATCTACATTAATGGTGAATATCATCATAATTTGTGAGCCTGTTTAGTTTATAATGGTTTCGAAGTGGCCCTATTTCAAGGTATACACTAGCTGAGCTCGCCCGTTCTCCTCTTAATTCAAAAATTTAATATTTTCTAGTTTATATAGTAGACATAATATACATATTACTATCCCCATATATCAATGCTCACAGACAAATCACTCATTACGATATTTTACCAACGGTACTAAAACCTTCATTTATAATAGTTTTTTGAGTTTCCATACGACTTCCAATTTGATGATTCTCATTCCCAACTCAATGATGCTAGCATTTGATTTGTCATTATTTGCAACTTCTCTGGTCCATATTCAAATTTCGCATTTCCAGACATTTTCAAAAAATTTCTTTCTCTAACAAAATTCTTACAGCAATCCTTAATTCTTTATTTTCTGGTATTAAAAAGTTAAATACTGCATTAAAATATTTATGGATATCTGGAGATACTTTTGTGAAATGGGCTGAACTAATATTCATTATCCTAAACATGAGAAATGGTCGTATCCCAAATCTTCAACTTTTATGCATTCAATTGATCCTCTACCTTTTTCCATATCGTTATCTCATTTCCCAAATATAATAAAGCAAGCTAAAAATTTTATATCAGAATTTATAGACGGGAACTATTTTCTCTAACTTTGGATGAAGTTTTCTTGATGATCACTTAGCCCAATTTCGATAAATATTTTTTTATTTAAATTCTACATATCTGTAGAATTTAGATAAAAATTTTAATCGAAATTAATAAAGTGATTGTCAAAAAACTTCATTCAAATTTTAAAGATATTTCATGAATTGGATGATCATGTAAATAAAAATTACAAACCGAGCACGGATTCAAATTTCGCGTTTTTTGGTCTGCACAGTACGGTAGTATATAGTCCGTTGCCTGTGCTAAAAGTTTTTTAATAAAAACTAAAAGCACGGCAGATGTTAAAAAATGTTAATATTAGCATTAATGGATAATTAAGCAATCAAAAAAAAAAAACCGCGATTAGCCAAAATAAAATGAAATTCGAAATAATTTATTCTTCAATTTATATAATGGCAAAACTCATCAAATTATAATATGATTGGGATAATCGATCACTTCACGAGAGAATTTTTTTTATGGTGGCATCATTCAGTTAAATCATCTTTGTAATCAACTTTTTTTTTCATCAGTTCAAAGACCAAAAATCCCACACTAGTTGCAGGAATAGCTCTTAATACAGTAGCCCCCAAATCACCATATAGAAAATGCATCCATCCAGTCCTTAAAGCTCTCAATTTGCATTGCTCCCATGTGAGTTTATAAAGTTTTGGCTTCTGCTCGTGCTGAAATTCTGATTGTGCTTCTTCAATTAGAAAAACATTTCGAATTCTGTCAAGTGGGTAGTCAATGATATGATACGATATAGCTGCTAAACTTCCCGCAATTAGGATGAAAGCAGGCTCAACAATATGTGATTTATCTCGATCCTGATTCTGGTGGTTTATCATACGATGGTTATTCATTTTATTGATAAAAGTATTATAACACTGCCCTTTTACTAATTCAAATACCCCAAAAAAGAGACCACAAGATAGAGAATCCTAAAGTTGATTTAATATTATAAAATGTAATTGTACGTTGGTCATTTAATAACTTGACAAATGAACGTCAAATTACCTTTATGAGCGTTAATCCAATTCCTCGATATATGCTAGAAAGTCCTAACTCTTTCCATGTCGTCTTAGCGTAATCATACATACTTTTATGTTTACCTTCTAATAAATCATTGACCTCAAATCTGACCTTAAGCGAATCAAGGGGAGCCGCTACTAAAGATTGAGCTGCGCCTGCTATAGCGCCAGAACAAAATACAGCATAAAATGGTGGTGGACGATTGATGTAATTTTGTGAACCAGATATTGGGATGGATTGAAATTGTGAAAGAGTAGAAACATAAACAGTGAATAAAACCGCGCCTATTACGGAATTTGCTATAAAAGGTGGAAGGATATGCCGATGAATGAAAGAAAACTAAGAAAAGTCAATATGCAAATCAATTCAAAATATCAACGGTGACTTATTCCTATTAAATACATGCAATAAATCAGGCATTCTGTGTGAAGAAAAGTAAAAGTACTAGTATAATATAAAATTGGTTTAATGATATTTACCCCATGAAGTTTTACAGCATTAGAAATCATGCCGATGCTAGTATGATGAAAGGAAAATTTTTTTGCATTTTCAGTAGGTGGCGGCATAATCGCTCGGGCCATTACAAGATAATCTACTCTCAATGGTCTAAAAAGCTAAAGAATTCGCGATTTGTAATAAATTGTAAAATAAACTAAAATCAATATAATTGTTTACCTTTATAGGAGTCCTATAGAATAATGCAAGGCCTTGCAAAATAAGCGAGCGTGTTATGGCGGCAGGAGCAGCAATTGACGCGGCATTTTTTGCATTTTGCTTATTATCAATATCACCCATTTCGAATATTTGAAAATTTATTAGCATATAGCATAAAGCGATAGTGCAGTAGTGAGATACCACGAAAATTTAGTAACCACATGATTGAGATCCGACTCATGTGATCGCTGAATTTTATCTTTTATTTGCCGATTCATAGAGGTTTAATTTCTCCTATGAATCAAACGTGAATTTTTTTTTTTGCTGAGATTTGAATAAATTTACTATTATTATTTCGTAGAGCTTTGTGAACTCTATAAAAAGAAGTTTATTCAAATTGGATCATTGGATGTGTTTTGAAGGGTCATTTTCCTAGCAAAGATCGCGTATCATTTAGTCCAATAAAACAATACAATTAGAAAAGTTCTGATCTGTATTAAAATGTGAAATTTTTCACACAACATTTTATTATTCAACAATAGAATCTATAGCATTAGAAGAAGATTGAAGAGCTTCACTTTTTTCTATAGCAGAAGACAAAACTTGGGATCGAAATGATAAGCCTTTTGTGCGTTCTATAACTTGTTGATAGATGGATGTATGATTTTGATTCATGATGACAGTATTCTATAATAAAAGATTTTACAAGATATATTACCAATTGATTATTAGTAAATTAAGACCAATTTTAAAAACAAACCTCCTTAAAATCAATTTTTGCATCTACACGCGTATCCCGAATTAAATTCACAATCCATTTTTCACCTTCTTCTTGGCCTAAATTAAGTGTTTGTGACAATCCGCTATTAAATTAAAATAAATCATAGGTTAGAAAATGGTCATTTTGTAATTTATATAAAGGTAAACCAAATAGTCCAAACCCGATATCAATTTTCAAATGTATTCGACAATAGGTTTCAGAAATCAAATATCGCGCATTTTCAATGAATTCCATCTTTGTAGCGACAAGGAAAAAATCGTTAGATAGTACTTCCTCACATTCTTTTAATTTATGTTGAGCTCCTTCAAAATCGAATTTAACATATAAACTCTCGATAAATTCAGTGATCGGATCTCTATACTCATAACTTTCTTGTTGAATGATTTTTATTAAATCTTTTAAAATATTTTTTCGGCGTTTGTTAGTAACTACAGCTGTTGTAAGATATCGGAGGATCCATGGACATGACGTTTGGATAGTATTAATGTATGAAGGGTTGAAGAATACATCAATTATGCTATCCCGTCCTTTAGGATGGTTGAAGAATACAAAAATAGACCAATGAATAAACCATGTGCGTTGTTGTAGTTGATGCAGAGGAGACGCGAAGCTCTAGATCAAGTGATAAAAATTATCAATAAAAGAGTATTTTTTAAATTTAAAATTTAGTTTATTACCTTAGAATCAATAGTTTCTTTCAGTTTTTGAACCTCTTCCAAAGCAGCATCCCAATTAAGATCCAAGATATCTGACGCAAGCTTTCCCCATAAAGCCGATAAATTAAGCTCATGATCGGTGGACTAGAAAAAAAAAAAAAAACGAAAGGATTGATATCAATTGCTTATATGATCACAACCATGCTTAATCAGAATTGTGACGTACAAACCAATACTCGGAAATGATACAACATGTCAGAAGCACCACCATAATTGCCACAGTTATATTGAAATTGGCCGAATTGATAAAGGGTGTTAACCATTTCGTCTGTGAGCTATCGAGATCAAAGCGACAATACTTTTGAATTAAGTTTAAACTGAAGTTTGAGGTTTAAAATCTAAAATAATGTTCATTTTACCCCATATTTTTCTTTAAGAAAATGCAAATTTTGAAGCTTATCCTGGCGAAGAGCTGCAATTACTTCAGGATTTTCGATAATATCTAAAACTTTTTGGGCTTCTGTTTGAAGGTTTTCTAATGTTTGAAGAACTTCCTGTCTTTTCGAGGCGAATTCTGAAATGTGAATATTAGATCAAATCATAAAATATCTATCATTATATAAATGTTCATATTTCATTACGCGATATACCTGAGGGAACTTCGTCCGTATCATGGATTTGTTTATATAATTCTGAAATAAAGTCTACCATGTTGGTCTTAGCTAAGAGTTCATATTTAGCTTTAAGTAGATCATGATTCGGGTAGATCTGGTTTTTAAGGGTCAAGAATTATAACTTTTGGAGTGGAAGTGTAAATGAAACAAAAAGATCCCAACGAAATCAACCTTATTCAAAGACAAGAATTCCAGTAAGGGAAAGACGAGATGCCTGTCCATATAAGGGATCATTCGAGGAATTAGATCATACGAAGCCATCGCGGTTCTGATTTAATTAAGTTCCCTAAATTTTTTTTTTACGATGATCCTATTTAACTCTGAGTCAAAAACACTGGAAAAATGTGACTGGATGATCACAGAGATACGATAATTTTTTTTTTTTTTCCATATAAATTCAGTTCTCTTAATATCAATTCCTTCCTCTTTTGATCCATCTATCGAGACTTTCCTTTGTCTTGGTGGGTAGTTTTTTTTTTAGAAGTTTATTCTGTAATTTTATACATTTCTTTCTCGGATCCATCCAATTGAGTATTAGTACTAGCTAAACTTTCATAAAAATCATGTAAACGATTTAGTTGAGATTATACTACACATTAATCTAAATTTTACGAAAGGAGGATCGTATTCGAAGAAAGGAACGACGAATGCAAATGATGAACCAATCCTTTCATTCACCAAATTAAATACATGTATTAATGAATTTATTACATTTTTCCGCAGTGGTAAAATGGCACATGCACCGCGTAATAGATTTCTTGTGCCTGGAATTCCACGCTATTCTCGGTGCGCCGTTTATGCTAAGAAAGCTTTGCACAAAAAAAAAAGAAAGGGAACTTTTAAAAAAGCTGAGGTCAATAATCCAACCACTAAAAAGGTTCCATACAAGGATGGGCATCGAATTGTCCCAATAGAAAAAGCACCACGTTTTTATCCCGCGGAGGATATTCCACGTCCAAAGAAATCTCGCAAAGTTAACAAACCTACTAAACTTCGTGCCTCCATTACTCCTGGCACTATTCTTATCTTGTTAGCCGGTCGTTTTCGTGGAAAGCGTGTTGTCTTTTTAAAACAATTACCGAGTGGATTGTTATTAGTAACCGGACCATTTAAAATCAACGGTGTTCCGTTAAGGCGTGTTAATCAAGCCTTTGTTATTTCTACTTCCGCAAAAATTGATCTTTCTGCTTGTTCGGTAAGATAAAATTTAATTTTTGTGAAAAGCCATATTTGTGTAAACTTCAAATAGCTGACACAATTTAAACTCCACAAATAGCTTGATAAATTTGATGACGGTTATTTTAAAAGAGAGAAAAGTTCTAGTAAGAAAGTTACTGAGGAGGAATTATTTGTCGAGAAGCAGAAGGTAAACAATCTTAAATATGCTAACATGATTATAACGTAAATATAACTGTTTTTTTCTTTTTAGCAAAAAACAATTTCTGAATCAAGGGTTGCTGATCAAAAAGAAATTGATAGCAAAATCATCGCTGGATTGAAAGCTCCGCACCTCAAAGATTATTTGCATTCCAGATTTTCTCTCTCAAAAGGCCAATTCCCTCATGAATTAGTTTTTTAATGTGTAATGTGGTACAATTAGTGGTTGGACCCGTCTGAAAAATCATGACCCGGGTGGATAAATGATAAAATAAAAACCAAATTCTATCTTTCTTCTATAATTATAATAAGCTATTATTACACGTTTTTATAAATATTTTGCGACTTATGCTTGAGCGATGGGGAAGGGAAACGTTTGTTAATAAAGACGAGAAAATGATTATGATTAATTATTAAAAAAAGATCCGATAAAATTACTCTATTATTTACTCTGTAAATTAGTGATTTTTAATATAAATTTATGGCGCTAAATATAATCTTTTTCTTAATGGTATCTCATTGGTTTCGTAAGTTACAAGTAGAGGTTGGATCCTTTGAATATCCATCATGGCTATTCAGTAAATATTCGCGGGTTTTGATGTTTACGAATAGCAT